CCCTTGCAAAATCCATGTTGACTGTATGAAATGCTTGAAGTGATAGAATGCGTCAACCGATTTGTTATAATTGCTTCAAATAATTTAGGAATTGCAGAAAGCTTAGCTATGCCCCGGTAGTTCTCCACTGAAGTACTGCTACCGCTTTTATGTAAGGGGGTTATGAACGATTCCTTCCATACAGTTGGAAAACGCCCTCTTTAAGAGACAAATTAAATAAGGCTGTTAACGGCTCATAGAGATAATCAGCACAATTTCTAAGAAAACAAGTGGGGATCTGGTCAGGACCATAACTAAAAGACTGCTTTAAGGACTTCAGGTAAACTAAAACATCATCGGGAGATATTATAGGGTTATGTATTGAGTTAATTGGACTTAGTTTAAAAGGATAGTCAAAGTATGCTTGGGAGTTAGTGGAATAATTGGATTTAAAATACTGAGCGAACATGTTAGAAATTGTTTGATTATCACCAGAGACGGTATTTTTTATCTAACAAATTTTTTTTTAGTTTTTGAGGTCGCTGGTTACGGATACGAAGTCCGATTTTCAAAATTCAAAGTGGCGGATCCAATATTGCGGTCAAAGGTACCAATCATATAAGAATTAAAAATTTTTTTTAATTTGACTGCCATATTGGATCCGTCATTTTGAATTTTGAAAATCAGATTTCATATTCGTAATCAGCGGGCACAAAAACCCCAGGATACCAAGATTAAAGTAAATCCAGCAATATTTGAAAAATTTTGGCTGTCACGAAAAGTCCGCCATGTGTTTGGAGGTTAGAAAAAACTCCTGAAGTGATGGAGCGAAAACATATAAAAAACCTTGACTGGTAGAAATAACCTTTCATCGATTTAATATCATGGTCCTTGCTTAAAATGTTGACCTTTGAAAACTTTCGCATTAACTTAAGATTGTTAGAAACAATTTTCAGCATCCAATCACATTCGGCAAAGGAAATGAAGCGTACAAAAGAAAAAAAAATGCTCAATCTTCACTTTGACTCACTGGTGTTTTAGCTAGTTTTGGGATTATAACGAGCGGGTAGTGTTTCAGATTGGATAGAACACTACATATATATTTTCTTTAGAAAAATAGCCAAAAGATAAATCGATTTTGACCTTATACTTACGAAACTATGCATAATCACTAAAATCAAAAGTTCTAGAGATGTGCCTATATGCAAGTATGTATGTACATTAGGGTGGTCCAAAAATGCATGCGAAAAAGTATAGTCGGGATTTTTATGCTCTCAACCCCCAGGATTGTTCTGTACTGAAAAAAATATATCCCTATTTTGTATTTTGAAATCAACAAATATTTAGAGGTCCCTCAAAGCGCCCAAAGTTTTCCGTGTATTTTATAGGGGGAAAAATCAACTTTTCGTAGAAATGGTATAGAATTCTTAAAAATCAATATTTTTCTATCGGAAAAAACTCTGTTTATCTGCAGGAGATTCCCAATAATAATACTCTCTTGTTTATGTAACCATTTTCTCATCGCAACTATAATTTATAGATCCGCCAAAAGCCCACAAAAACCCCGAAAAAATGCAATGGGGGCGCCAATAAAAAATCATTAGTATTAAAAAATGGTTAAATAAACAATTGGGTATTATTACTGAAAGTCTCCTGAAGAGAACCAGAGTTTTCCGATCGAAAAATATTGCTTTTCAAGAATTCAATACCATTTCTACGAAAAAAAAAATACATTGAGCGCTTTGAGCGGCCTCTAAATATTTTTTGATTTCAAAATAAAAAAATTGGGGTAAAATAGGGGGTGAGAGCATTACAATTCCGACTTTACTGTTTTTGGACCACCCTAATATACATACATATGTATCTTTAACACTGGTGCCTAAAATTGATCGCCTAAACTTTCTCTATTTCCAAAATTTATATGAAATGGCGTCCCTAAACACGACATAGTACGAGCCGATATATGATTCAGCGTTCAGCATACATTACTTACAGCAAATTACACTGTTCGAGTGCCAAGGCTCCCAACCGGAGCTGGAAAAGATGGCACGCGAGCAAGGACGGCAGTGTATCGGCAACCGGATGCTCCTATCCTGTAATGCAATTGTTGCATCATGGTCACGCGGATCGGAGGTAAGTTTCACAGTGACATATCACATTTAACTTCAACTAGACATTTGTATTAAGTTGAATATCGTATGTTTCCAATTTCACAAAAAGAAAATGAATATGGGCGTAGTAGCTAAATGGCTACTATTCCATAGCTTGAGTTGCTTGTTCAAAAAAAAAAACTCGGGTACGAACCAAGGCATATTCAACAAGGTAGAAGTGACAATCCAGTCAAATTCTCTCATAGCTGACCATAACTTAAAATTATGTAGTTGTTTACACAATATATTTTTAACACAAGACCCTAATACTATACTACGTTCAAATTGACGAGCTAAACATGTTAAATGGGCTTGAACCAAATGACCAAAACATGTTCATAAACAAGTTAAATCGCATGTAATTGTTGTTGGAAAATTGAACCAGTTAAATCATTAAACTCGTTTGAAAACCAGTTCAACGCAGAGTTGTATCAGAAAGCTTTCTGCTTCAGCCAATCAGAAACAGCCAAAAGCTTTCATTTGACACGCCAACGTTCAAAAAATTAATATTCTCAAAAATATTAAAAATTGAAAACTATCAAAATTATATGCATTTCTGCCCGCCAAAACAGATGGCAAGGCAGTAATTAGTTATTTCCCATGAGAGATATTTAGATATGTAGTTCATATGAACTAACCATTTTGAAGTCTCTAAGTAATCTGTATGCGTTAATATCATGAAGGAGACATTCGCACAAAACAAACTGAAACAGAAAAACTTGATGTTGAAAATTTTTTTTGAATTTTCATTTGAAATTTAAAAAAAAACCGTCANTAAAGCATTTGGCTCTGTCAATCATGAGCTCCTTATCCATAAACTAGACTTACTTGGTTTTCCTAAACACCTATTAATATGGCTCGCAAGCTATCTTTCAAGCAGGACTCAAAAAGTTTTCTTCAAGAATACGCTTTCAAAATCGATTGATGTCACCTCTGGGGTGCCTCAAGGTAGTTTTTGGGTTCATTACTTTTTACCTTGCGACTTGCCACAGATTACCTCGCACTCCCAAACTCTTATGTATGCGGATGACGTGAAACTTTGTTTCACGCATTCGCTTTCAGACGGGTCTTGTTTGGATCGTCTTCAGGACGATTTGGACTCGTTTCTTAGCTGGTGTACATCAAATCTATTAGTTTTAAATTGCTCTAAATATAAGCACATGACATTTCATAGATTAAAGCCAGTTTTGGCAACTTATAAAATAAACGGTATTCCTTTAGAGCGCATATCTGTTATAAATGATCTTGGCGTGCTTTTTGATCCAAAATTGAGTTTTAATATCATCGATCGTAAACAAAGCCATGGGTGACTTGGATTTTTTAACAGGTGGGCTAAAAAGTTTCAAAATCCGAACGTCACGAAGATTCTATACACATCGTTGGTTCGTCCAAGTACTGGAATATTGTTCGTGTGTCTGGGGTCCTCAATACTAAAATTATATTAAGCAAATTG